GCGGGTCTGAGGGGAAGGGGTTTCCCTTCCAGGGCCCGCCGGCCTGGCCTAGCCCAGCTCGGCCTGCCCCGGTGCCCGAGGGCCGGCCCCCAGCACCCCCCGTCCCTCCGGCTCCTGGTAATCCGCTTTTTTCCCTTTTTTTCTTTCTTGGTTCGCTTCTCTGCTGGGCGCTTCAGACACCTCCCCGGCTGCAATCCGCTTGGGCCGAATCCCTGGCCCTGTGGGTGACCCAGCAGGCCCGGTCTTGGCTGAGGCTCGTTCCGAAGCTTTTCCTCTTCATTTAGCTTATCTCTTCCCTTTTGGCCTCAAACAGGTGAACACAAAGATGCCTTCTGCACAGAAGCCGATGCGATACGGCCACACCGAGGGCCACACTGATGTCTGCTTTGATGACTCTGGGAGGTAACTGCCGAATTTCTGGAGACCAGGGTGATGTGCAGTCTGTGGAGGGATGGTCTTGGTGTCTTGGTCCTGTCTCGTCCTTTCCCAGGAGTTTCTCTACCAGCCACTGCTGCCTGAGATACTGGGATGAGTTTATGGCCTGACTTCATCTGACAAATCCTTTGGGGTTTGAACATGTTAAAAATTGGCTATATGGCATATTTTGATGCTCTGAGTTTTGAAGGGATTGATTTATAACTTATATGTAAGCATATTTATACATACACATATATATAGTAAGTATGTAGATACATAAACACTCTACTGTATATTTTATAAGAGTGTTTTCATAGAATCTAGGAGAAAACAGTGTAGTGTGGGAGTAAATATGTTCACATATACACTAATAAATTCAAAATATAGTTGAAGCAACCCAACACTGGGCTTGCCATCTTTTCTTGTTATTCTTGTGCTAGTTCTTGAGTGTATAAACATAAACTAAATATTTGCAGTTCCCTTTTTATTGATTAAAAATAAAAGGTAAACCAGAAAACAAGCCCTCTGAAAATGAGCTCAAGGAGTAAGTCTTATATAGAGAGTATGGTTTAGATCCATTTTTTCTTACTCCTTTCTTTAGTTCATTAGCCTTAGTACGAAGACTACTCTTAAGAGTTAGTCTAATAATGATCCCTCAAAACCACAAAACACCTTGTTTGACATTTCAATGCAAGTGTTTAGAAAAGGGTGCAGACATCTCTGCCAAGTACCACTGCTCCACTGCTGGTGGACTTACCACCATCAATGTATTCAATATGATCACAGAGTTATGTTGCTGTCAGAGTACAGACCTTACAGAACTAAGAAGAGCAATGTCACAGCTTTACTGGCTTTGTAATGTTCTACTGCTTAATTAGATTTTTTTTTTTTGACTGCAAACAACTTTAGGAAAAAAGAATGCAAGGCTTGGTTATAGATTCATGATGTCTCTATGTAAAAATCCTGTGCAGACTTTTGTATATTTGCTCTGGGACTTCAGGTTGTTGTTTACTGCATTAAAATAGTGAAAGTTAGCTCCAGCAAACTTGAATTCCATATTAACTCCTGTTTGAGTTTTACAGGCCTGGAACATGTTAAGCTTGTTAAACTTCATTCAAATATGCATTCACACCCTTAGTTTTGCCCTTAACCTTGGAATCAGCTAAGGTATGTTTTCAAAGACTTAAGAAGCAATTTAATGCTCACTTTTCTTAGAGAAATCAATGCTAATTAAATCCTTTGAAAAACTTGCTCTAATGAATTGATAAATAATGTCCAAGGGTCAGTTCAGGTGGGTGCTAGGCCTAGGTAGTTATCAGAGGGATATTTAGACATCATAAAGGTAGGTATTTGCTCTATCCCATAGTATGTATTGTGATTCAGTTTTTACAAAAAACACCCTAACACTTCAGTAGCATTTTCATGTTGGGATTGAAAGTCACAGTGTCTGTCCTTCCCATTCCTGCATGCCAACAAACCTGCTGTCTTTCCACAGCTGCATTGTAACCTGTGGCAGTGATGGAGACGTTAGAATTTGGGAGAACCTGGACGATGATGATCCGAAGTCCATTACTGTGGGAGAAAAGGCCTATTCCTGTGCTCTGAAGGTGTGGTTGTTTGCAGAACTAGGCTCTGAGTTGTGTTGTGCTGGTGTTGGTACATGACTGTACAGGTGCTGGAATGTGAATTCAAGCTCAGGGATGCTGCTCGTGTGGGTAACATTAAACTTGTACTGGGAGAATGTACAGAAAAAGGCAAGAGTAATACTCTCTGTGGCACACTTCAGTCTGATATGTGTTAAAAATATAGATCCCTGTTTCCAGGTTAATATATGGAAAAAATAAATTTGATGCTGTTTAATGAGCAGCTGGTATTTCAATTTGAGCATATGAACATATTCTACCTTTATAAGTGAAAATATTAAAGCAGTATTGAAGACATAGTTTTCTGAAATGCCCAGAAACTTAATGAATTAAATATGCCTGTGGACTTTTTGAATATTTTTAACTAAAGTATTTTATATAATCAAGGCTACATCTGTGTACAATTAATTTTACCCCATAGGGGATTGCAGAGGAATTATTCCTTGTACTAAACTTATGTAATATTTTTGTTTTCCTTCTTTCTTTACATTCTGTTATACTCCTTTCTGACTTTGATCTCCTTTCTGAGAAACGAACCCAGCAGATTAAGCTAATCATTCAGTGAACTTTTCAGACTGTTTCAGTATTTTCTCACAATGTGAGTTGCAAAAAGTTTCCCAGCATGAGATGTGACCATTGAGTATTAGGGAAAAGAGCCAAGAGGTTGTTTTATGTGGATCTGTTTTAAAGTCCAAGGAATTATAATCTATATTAATCAAAAATTACTTTCACAATGTTAGTGCCTGGTAATCCTTTGCAAATGTTTCTTTTATAATTAGTTGACATTTCACTCTCAGATTTGCCATTTTCTATGATACAAATTGATATTTGTATAAAGTAGTTGGTTTTACTTTGCATGTTCAAGTATTTAGTTTGAGAGTTATCACAGTATTTCCTTTATGTGCAATAATTCTGATATTACACTAGTAATAGGAGGTGTAAAATGTTGTCTTTGTGACAACTGTAGAAGGGAGGAATTCCAGAAGTCTACCTTGGTTTTTCAGGTATTGTGTAGTTAACTTTGCAGTGATAAAGGAATTTTAAAAATTGTTTTTCAACTATTTGTGAGTTTGGAGAGGAGTATGAAAGAGGAAACAAATGAGAATTAACATATATGTAATAATAATTTGAAACTTTATTCAGTACTACTGCCTTAAGTGAAACCTCTTTCTTATATTCCTTTTAATATGTATTAATATAATTTACTTCTTCATGTATCTATACCTCAATACTCATATAATCTATTTTATCACTATTTTTTGGGGTATTTTGCTGCTGATTTTCATTGCATTACTTATCTTTTCACAAACCACATGAGGTGAGTTGAATGAGTTCTCTTAGCAAATCAGTGGCAGAGACAGAAATTGCTGAACCTATTAATGCATAGAGGAGGGAAATGCTAATTTGAAGTTCTGACACCAGTAGGAAAAATCCTGTGCTCTTAAGTGAATTGTGAAGTGCTTTTAGTTTTGAGGTTTTTTTTTATCTTTAACCAGTGAGATTTAGAACACTCTCTGAGACTTCTTATTTCAAAAATTATTCCTCATTATTGACAATGTCATGAGGAGCTGAACAGAGATGTTGATATAATCTAGGTAATAAATCTCATCTCTTATTTAGTTTCGTTAGGTACTGGCTTCTGCTTTACCTTCAGCATTTTTGCTTTAACTTCAGGGAATTTAAAAAAAAAGGCAACACCCCCCTCCCCCCCAGCCCAAACGTGACCAAAAAAAAACCTTCAATGAAATAAGACATTTATTTATTTAAACAAAACCTGAGACATAGTATCATCACTTGAATAAGAGATCTTACTTTTTGAAGAGTAGGATAATTATTTCTTTTGTTTTGCTCTTCTTTTTAATCTGGACTCATTTTTAATAAACATCTGCCTTCTGTTTTCTGAAAAGAACTAAGCTTTAAGAGTTCATCAGCTTCTCATCTTTCCCTGGTGGCATTTAACTGAGAAGCTCAGTCCAAGAGTGCCCTCTCCTGATGCTGCAGTGTACTAAACTAAAAAGCAGGCAAGATTCTTCCTGTCCTGCAAGCTCTCTTGCCTATATGGAGGGAGGAAGTTTTCCATCTAAAATAGTTCCCTTTGAAATCCATTAGTGGCTTTGAGTCACTGAAGTTACTAACTTAATAAAATAAAGGTACAAGTTGTGAAGATCTTGATGCAGTAAATTGCCATAGAGTTGGCATGATGGATTTTAAGTCTGCTGAAGCAACTGGAGTTTCAGTATTAAATCTAGCAGTCTGTTCCTACAGTAAAAGAATAAATTTCCTAGTTTTTAATAGTTTGGCTAAAGTGATGAAGTATTAAAATCACTGTGTTTGTCTGTAGTTTGGGGGGAAAGAAATAAAAGTGAAAGAATATTTCCCCTACTGCTCATACTGTCAGAGCTCTTTGGGAACTGCTAAAGTAAATCTGCTTAAATATTAGGCACACCAGAGTAATTTTTTTGGCTCTGTGGGCATGAATGTGTTTTAGCTAACAAATTTTATGATGCATTTTGTTTATAGAACGGAAGACTGATCACAGCAGTGTCAAACAATACAGTGCAGATACATACATTTCCTGAAGGAGCTCCAGATGGCATCCTGACTCGTTTCACCATGAATGCAAACCACGTCATCTTTAACAGGGATGGGACCAAAGTTGCTGCTGGATCTAGGTAATCTCTGTGTGACAGGGAAAATGCTTTGCTGGTGTTCAAAATTTTGGTGTTCAAAATCTGGGCACTTTCTCGCGTGCTGATGGTTTTTTTTACCAGTGAGAACATTTATCCACATACTTCTGCGGGTTTTAGAGTGTTGCAAAATGCCTTCCGGGGTGGAGGGGAAGAAAGAAATGAAAAGGACTTTAGCAAACAATGCTCTGAGAGATACTTGATCCACCAAATAATTTTCAGTGGAAATCTGGTGTTGTGAAATAATTCCTTTTCTTTAGGAGGCTTGAGTGCTTTCAGCTTTCAGTCCTAGAACACGTAGGCGGTCCCCCATGTGGATCTCATTGCAGCATGAAGGGTTTTGTTAAAGGTGGTGTCCTGACTGTTCAGGATCATGGTGCTGCAGATGTGTATACATGTGAAAAAGTTAGATGGGTTCTAATTTGTGGGAGAGCCTGGAGTCATTCTCTGGCATAAATATGATCACTGTTCTGCCAAATGGTGACAGATGAGGGTTCCAAGACTTGCCTGAGGGGAATTAAATGGGTAGTTTAGTTCATTTCTTAGGGCAGCATGTTTGCTTTTACATAATAGACACTGTTCTGTTGTCCTGGTTTCAACTGGGATAGAGTTAATGCCTGGAGGAAAAGCACCTGGGGGGAGTTGGTTGAAGCTGGCTGAATATGAGCCAGCATGTGCCCAGGTGGCCAAGAAGGCCACCATCATCCTGGTTTGGATCAGTACCAGTGTGGCCAGCAGGACTAGGGCAGAGATCATTCCCCTGTACTCAGCACTGGTGAGGCCACACCTTGAATGCTGGGGTCAGTTTTGAGTCAGGTTGAGGTTGGACCTGAGGAACAATTTCTTCCCCTGGAGGGTTGCCCAGGGCTGTCCCAGGCTGCCCAGGGCAGTGGTGGAGTCCCCATCCCTGGAGGGATTGAAAAGCCATGGAGATGTGGTGCTGAGGGACATGGTTTAATGATGGACTTGGCACTGCTGGGTTAATGTCTGGGCTCAATGATCTTAGAGATCTTTTCCAACCAAAATGATTCTATGATTCCTATTTTCTTCCTAGTAGCTGGTGTATCTGGTCTTTCAACAGAGATGGCAAAATAGCAAGCAGACAAATTTTTATTTTATTTTTTTTAGAAAAAATTATTTCATGTTCAGGTGATTCTAAATAGGGTTTGGTGAACTCCTAGGGCAGCTGTAGCTAACTCGGGCTGTTTGCTTGCCACTCCACTGGAATTTGTCCTTCACAGTAGCAATTGCAGAGCGTTGCATCTGTTGCCCAGCTCCTCTGTGAACTGAACTAGAAAGCAATTTGGGTGAACATGCTGGACTGTGAATTCTGGCAGCTGTGGGGCAGACACACTAGCTCCACCAGAACTGGGAGGCTGGATAGCTGTGGGCAGTAACCAGTCTAATCTCAAAATCTGACAGGGATCTTGAGTTTGGGCCCTTTGCCAGTGCTTGTTTCTGAGGGAGCAGCTCTGCCCCAGAACCTGACTTTGATTAGAGAGATTAGGCAGACAGCAAACTCTTTTCTGTTTCTAAAACTTTTACAAAGCCCCAGTGCTTCTGCAGCCTGGCTGGGGCTCTGCTGTTAGGAAAAAGAGCTCCTAGGACTGTGAGGCCACCCCTGGATGAGGTCTTCTGTAATATGCTGAAGGAAGGCTGACAGCCACAGCATGAAGGAACACACCTAAGAGAATTGCTTTTCGTTGTCCCAGATGTCTCCATTTTTCACAAGAAGTCATCAAACTTCAGGTTTATACGTTTAACATCCAACTGGCTGCTGAAGCTCACGTGAACTGTTTGAAAAATAGTTGTGTGGCTTCTTAAATAAACAAAAAACATTCTTTTGCCTGTTTTGTTTTGTTTTGTTTTTTTAAAAGTTGTCCTGCATTGAGTGCTAAGGTTCTAGTTGTCTTGCAATATAGCTTAGAGCCTTCTTTTTATGACTTTGGTTAGCTGAGCTTGTGTTTCTGAATATAGTTAAAGTAATGGTCAACCCTGTAGAATTTAGTCCTAAAATTGAATTTGCCTCTAAGGGTGTTGGAGTGGAGTGTGAGAGGGAGTGGACCTGAAAGATTATCACAGGAGCTCTTTGGCTTAGAAGTCAACACTGATATTTTGAGTTAAACAGCAGTAATGTCTAATTTTGGAGGATGGAATAAAGTTGTAAATAAATCAGTTTATGTAGCTGACACACCAAATAGTCTTAAAAATCCTGTTAAAAGCATCACAAAATAAGCTACTTGCTCTGTCTTTTTAAAAACCACATGCCCAAATAGTTACAGTAATGAATGTTGGTCCCATTCAACAGATCATTCTTGTGAAGGCAGGTCTGTGATCTGTGTGTACATAATACCCTCCTCACACAGCAACCATATTTTACCAACTATGACACAAACAAATATTTTCTGATAAAAACAGAAAATATTGCTCCTAGTGTAGTGAGCCTCAAGATTTGCATTTTCTCTTAGATCACACAGTGTTGAGAGCAATAATTTCTCCAAAAGATAGTAACTACCCAGCTTCTATTGCCATAAATAGGTAGTTTGTCATGGTTAATACCAATGTTAATACCTTGATGTCTGTGCTGTTGTAATCTGCAGTGACTTTATGATCAAAGTTGTGGAGGTGGCTGATAGCAGCAAGCAGAAAACGTTCCGAGGACACGATGCTCCTGTTTTAAGCCTGTCTTTTGACCCCAGGGATGTATACCTGGTAAAAACACTCTATTTTCCACTTTGAATCTGATTTTCCTTGGGAAAGAAAATAAATATATACTTTGTACCAAAAACAAACAAACAAACACCCCAGTGACTGGGCTTGTGAGTACTTCATTTCAACTGACTTACTGATGGAGTGTGTCACAAATTGTTGACTCCCAGGAGAACTCAGTCTTTGCTGTATTCAATTACTGTCTGTGTTCTTCTGGAATCTAAAGCTGATCAGATTTTAGAGGGGAAAAGCTGGCTCACTAAAGAAATTCACTATTAATTTTGAGCCTCTTTTGTGAATAAGCAGCTCACAAAGTATGAGGGTTTGTAATTACAGTAGCTTGGAGTAGAGTTCAATTATCAAGATGACAGTATTAGAAAGCTTTAAGTCTTAAAATGGTTTAAGCAGGGAGGCTTTCTTTTTAAAACTGGCTAGGTATTATATATCTGTAGCATTGGTTGAAGGGATTTTTCTCAATTTCTTAGCATTAAATTCACTATGTCTTTAATTATTAATTTGTTTACAAAAATCTCTTGCACAGGCTTCGGCGAGCTGTGATGGTTCTGTCAGAGTATGGAAAATGGCAGATCAGGTAAAAGGCTGCCTTTCAAAGTGTTTCACCAGAAATCCAGGATTTCACAGGCAGTGAGAAGAGCTGGACTGAAGTAACCCTGCTGGAATAGGGTTTTCTTTTGGGGGAAGAAATCTAACTGCACTTTACAGAACACTTTTACTACTTCTGGGAGAAATTCCAAAGCTCAGCTATGAAATGTTCCCTGGATAAATGTGGACTGTTCTTCCTGTCTGTGGAATCCCTGATTTCTTCTCTTTGTCTCTCTTCATTGGCCAATGTTGGGGATTTTGTCGTCAGCATGTTCAGAATTAGTGCTTCTGTGTAAAGATACCAATCAACATCAGATTCCTTATTTCAGAATTTCAGTTAATTGTTTTCAGGGTTACAGAAGGATTTTTATTCTAATAACTATCTATCTAGGTATATTTTGCTTTTATTTTTACTAAGCTTCTTATGAAATATTGAATAATTTTCAGGATTGTAGCCTGGTGAAAGCAGAATAATGCTCTGAAAAGCTACATACAGTTTCTCAGAAGGACATAAATGACAGTTTGAAAAACATAATTTATTAGCAATACAGTCTCTGTGCTCAACTAGGCAATACTTGGTTGAAATAGTTCAGGTCCTGTATGAAATCAGATTTAGTCAGAGAACCAGGTTTAGTCTCTTCTCTTGGAACCCTAAGGAACTTGAAAAGAGGGTTCCAGGTGAACACTCTAAGAAGGCAATTCCGCACGTATATGTGAGATTATTTTTGCCAAATGCCATTGGCTGAAACAAGAATCCATGTGGAACAATCCTGTCAGTACAGCTGAAAATGTAGCCCTGCACTTGTGCGTTGCTGCTTTCTTAAAACAAAAGCATCCTTCTAGTGTGAAATCTCATGTTCCAGGCTGACAGTGGGTGCCTTTTGGGGCAATTCCACTGACAGTGTCCTGGGATTGGCAGTGTGATGGATGTATCTGTGCTGTAATTTGATCATACAGCCATTCATTCTTTATCCTACCGTGGCCAAATTCAGGCTGATTTGTGTCACTTTGCTGCAGCTGATTTGCTTTTGACAAATGCATTTTGGCCAGATTTCTCTATAACTAAAAAATATTTGAGCTCATTTGTTCTGTACCTGATTAAAAACACTTGTTCTGTGATCCAGTTCTGCTACAAGCAGTTATATTGTCATTAAAATAGTTTCAGGTCTATATTGGCAAGGTATTTTTTTCAATTTTTTTTTTTCTAAGGCAGTATATACCATTGTATTTGGATGAAATTGTTCCAGTTCCAAAAGTGCTATATCTTTTTTTCCTTTTAGCTTGTTTTCCCCACACTTCTCCTTTAAGAATCTGTACTGTACCCTAGATTTTCACAGAGCTGGAAAACTCATTTTTTTAACATTTTGTTTTCAGACATGCACGACAACCTGGCCACTGCTGCAGAACTGCAATGATGTGATAAATGCCAAATCAATATGCAGGCTTGGCTGGCAGCCTGGCAGTGGCAAGGTGAGTGATGGTGGTTTAGCCACATCTTAATCCTTCTTTTCTCTTTGAGAGTCTGACAGTAGAATTCAATCTGAGCAAGCCCAAACTGCAGCTCCTTGGACTAAGGAAGGTATTTGGGGTGAAGTTCACTTTTAGGAAATAAACTAAAATAAAATAAAACCCTGGAAATGGTTGCTTATTGAAGCTCCAGACTGTGGTTGGTAGTAGTCCAGCTATCAGCCCAAAACAAGGTTAAACAGTCGTGTTGGGCTGATGAAGAGGGAACACTGTAGATGAGGGAAATAAACTCCTTCAAATAGAGCATCAAAGGAGTTCAGTCTTTCTCTGCTTTCAGTAAATTTTACCCTATCAGTAATCTTCCTCTGTAAATATTTCCTGCCTAAGTTGTTCCCTTGTCACCTGAAGAATTAAGCTGATACAGTTGTGACTGATGATGATGATGGTATGTAGAACCACAGAGCTGTTTAGGTTGGGGGAAACCTTTATGATCACTGAGTCCAACCGTTCACCAGGCACTGCCAAGTCCACTACTCACCATGTCCCTCAGCACCACATCTCCACAGCTTTTCAATCCCTCCAGGGATGGGGACTCCACCACTGCCCTGGGCAGCCTGGGCCAGGACTTGTCAACCCTTTTGGGGAGTGAATTTTTTCCTCACATCTAACTTAAACCTCCCCTGATACAAAACACTGCAGGTCTCGTGCATTGTGTATGTGCTGCTGCAGTAGGACTATGTATGGATCATTAACCAGAAATCATAGAGGTCATAGTCACAGAATCACTATGATTGGAAAGGACCTCTAGGAACATCAAGTCCACCCTTGATGGATTGATGTCTCTGTGACATGTGATCTACAGTATCTCTGCAGCATCTGATAATCATTGAGTGGTTTGAGTTGGAAGGGACCTTAAAGATCATCTAGTTCAACCTCCCACTACAGTGTAACATGGAGAGGAGGGAGGAGCAGGGGAACACGAAGCTGTATGAGGTGAAACACACCCTGCCATGCTTCAAGTGAGGGATGGGGAATGGAGCAAAATTTGGTTCTTTGGAAAAATCATTTTATGCCTTCTCTTCCTGCCTGTGATGATAGTGTGGAAGGATGTATCCATCCTTTATTGACATTCCAGTATACTGGATCTATACTGCTCTTTTCCCAAGTAACTAGCTCTAGGATGAGAGGAAATGAGCTGAAGTTGCACCAGGGGAGGTTTCAGTTGGATATTAGGAAGAATTTCTTTGCTGAAAGTGTGGTGAGGCAGTGGAACAGACTTGCCAGGGAGGTGGTGGAGTCACCATCCCTGAAGGGGGTTCAAAAAACACCTGGACATGGTTTAGTGTTCATGGTATTGTTGGGTTGACAGTTGGACTTGATGATCTTAGTTGTCTGTTCCTACCTTAATGATTCTATCATTCTATAAAGAGTATTTCCCAGTGTTTTCTCACAGTTCTTACCTGAATAATCTTGTTTACCCAACTTAACCTTTGTGCTTATCTACCTGTGTCCACTCTTCAAAATACCTGACTGCTATGATAGTGTTATAACGTCTACTACACTCTGCTTGATCTTGGCCAAAAGGCTAAGAGCGATGGAAGAGAGAATGTCACCTGCAGTACAAATTGTTTTGATATCCATATTGCATAAAACCAAATGCTTTCAATTTTTAGGCTAATTCTTCACACACAAGCATTTGGAATTTTGGAATGGAAGAAGTTGTCTTGCTTCTTTCACAAAGTAAATTGTCAGAAGTCTTTCAAAACATCAAATCCTAAAAAAAAACAAAGAGGCAGTAACATTCATGTAATTTTGTGAAAGATGAAATGAGATAGTTCAGGAGCCAGCTATTCAAGCAAGATTTATTGAGAAGTTGTAACCTAGTCTAAAAGAGGTTTGGGGAGGGAGAGAAAAAGAGAACAGAAGCCTTTAGCTCAGAGCATTGACAACTGTTTCACTGAGTGTGTTAGCTGCTTCATAAATAAGAACTTCTAATCATATGGTGCAGCTGTCACTATCTTCAGTTTTCTGCCAGAAAGAAATGAAGATTAAAACAAAACCAGGCATGCTTTGCTATGGTGCATGTGGAAAGCATTAAAGAACTTTGTAATTCAAGTTACTTCATCTTTCTTCTTTCAATTAGCATTGCCGGGATGCTGGAGAACCATTAAGTACTGAGGCAGTCACACTGTAATCCTGAATGAAGGAGCTGTGCTGTTTGAATGTCCTGTTTGAAAGGCAACTTTTCTCTAAATTATTTGATTCTTTTTTTCCTTTGAACAGTTTCTGGCAGTTCCTGTAGATAAAGTTGTTAAACTATACAGAAGAGAAACCTGGGATAGTCAATGCAGTCTATCAGACACATTCATCACACAGGTAGGTACATAAACCAGGTACTTGCTAAATCTTCCATAATTTAAGTGTTATTCTGCTAGAAAATACCTTCTGGACCATATCTTTTTTTGATTTGATATTTTTTATCCCCTCTTGGTAACGTATGCTCACATTTTCTATTTAATTTCTGATCCCCTTACTTTTTGTTGTGACACTCATCTAGTATCTCTTGCCTTGTTTTCCAACATTTTTTATGTGGTTCTGGTTCCCCTCTTTCATTTTTAGTCACCCACTAGATCTTCAAGGTCAACTGGTGAGTCACCAGCTGAGGCTGAAGAATATCTGTTTTCACAAATTGCTCTAAGCTTTTTAGAGAAAATTTCATAGAAACCCAGCGTGGTGGGGCTGGGAGGGACCTCTGGAGATCATCTCATCCAGTCCCCCTGTGTCCCTTCTCCAGCAGGTCACCCACAGCAAGGTGCCCAGGATGGCATCCAGGCAGGTTTGGACTCCTTCCAGAGAAGGAGACTCCACAACCTCTCTGGGCAGCCTGGGCCGGGCTCTGCCACCCTCACACCAAAGAATTTTGTCCTCCTGGTCAGATGGAACCTCCTGGGTTCCAGTTTGTGCCCATTGACCCTTGTCCTGTCACTGGGCACCACTGACAAGAGTCTGGTCCCATCCTCTTGCCCCCCACCCTTTAGATCTTGATCAGCATTGATCAGATCCCCTCTCAGCCTTCTCTCTGCAGGAGTCAATACTCTTTGCGAAGAGCACTGCTTTTGTACAGAGATATCAGTTTTTCACTTTATATTTTATATTAAGTTGAAATTTAGCTACATAGGAGCCCTAACTGTGCTATTATCTTTCTTTTGACCTCAGTATACACTTGGAAACCTTCAGGTTTAAGATGATTGCTTTCCTGGTCTTACTAAGATGCAGAACACACAATCTTGGCTTTTAATTTATGGAAATGTATTAAGTTCAAAATAAATAAAGCTATGTTTAGTGCTGAGTTTGCAAAATGTGCTATGCTTCTGTCTCCATGTCTGGAGTCAGGTTTTGTTCAACCTCATGGCAGCATTTAGTGACAGAGATGGGTATTTTGGGGGAAAAAAAAAACAAAGGCATGCTAACTTTAGAAAAAAATTCTTGAACTACCTAAACCCAACTCTAGCACAAGAGACAGGGTATGATTTGCTAGAGGTCATTATTATTTGAGAATATCTGTCTATTTTACTCTCCAGAATATAAATGCTGTGTGTACATTGGTAAATTGTTTGGGTTTTTATTTTCTTTTTCCTTAGCCCTTGAATGTTGTGGCCTGGTCTCCTTCTGGGGAGTATCTGGCAGCTGGAAGTGTGGATGGGAGTATAGTGGTGTGGAATGTGGAAAAGCAGGAGTGCATAGAGAGGTATTTGGTATTGTTCCTTCAATCTCTAAGTACATGTCTTTGTCCTTGAAATAGAATTTTGTTGGTTTCTTTTTCTTTCTGTAAGTCTTATTTCTGCAAATCACAGACTCATAGAATGGTTTGAGTTGGAAATGATATTAAAAATCATCCCATTCCAGCCCCCTCTGCCATGGGCAGGGACACCCTCCTCCAGACCAGGTCACTCAGAACCCCATCTAACCTGGTCTTGAACACTTCCAAGGATGGGACATCCACAGCTTCCCTGGGCAACTTGTTCCAGTGTCTCACCAACCTCACAGTGAAGAATTTCTTCCCAAGATCTAGTCTAAATCTAACCTCTTTCCTGAAACTGATGTCCCTTGCCCTACCACTGCACTCCCTGATGAAGAGTTGTTCCTCATCTTTCCTCTAGGCCTCCTTTAAGTCCTGGAAGGCCACCAGAAGGTCAGGGTCCCCTCCTACCCTGCTGCCCATGCTGCTGAGGGTGCAGCCCAGGCTGCCCAAATGTAGAACTCTGCCTCCTGAAAAGCTGCAATAAGGTTTAGAGGGCAAAGCTGTAAGTTTTCTGCTAGTGTTTCACTGGAAACAAGTGCCCCAGGAGACAGCATGTGAAGGCTTAAGAATACCATTTACCTGGCATTGTGGATCATCTCCCAGCTGCTGGAGGGACTGGAAGCACACCCCTAGAGAGGCAGTGGAGCAGCCAGGTCAAAAGAACTGGGAGGCAGGGCCACAGCTCAGTCTAGACATGAGCAAAGGGAGCAAGAGGAGAGCTGTGCTCTTGTGCAGCCCAGGTGAGGAGCACTGGTACTGCACTTCATGTACTGAGAGGAATTCCAGGGCTGCCACATAATTTCCTGATTCTAAAAGGAAGCAGCTTCCACAAGAGTATGAATTTTGGACCTGGGCAGAAATGTGTCATTGTTTTGCCTTCCCCCACCATACCCCGTATGCACAGAAGCACATTCTGATTCATGGGATGTATTGTTTGCCTTTCTGCATAGCTAGCAGGGTCTGGAAACATTATATGATTGTACCCCAGACTCAGCACTGGGGAGGGCACATCTCAAATCATGGGGTCAGTTTTGGGTCTCTCACTCCAAGAAGGGACCTTGAGGGGCTGGAGTGTGGCCAAAGCTGGGGAAGGGCCTAGAGCCCAAGTGTAGTGAGGAGCAGCTGAGGGAGCTGGGGGTGCTGAGCCTGGAGCAAAGGAGGCTCAGGGGAGACCTTCTGGCTCTGCACAGCTCCTGACAGGAGCCTGGAGCCAGGTGGGGGTCGGGCTCTGCTCCCAAGGAACAAGTGATAGGACAAGAGGTAAATGGCCTCAAGTTGCACCAGGAGGTTGAGTTTGGACCTGAGGAACAATTTCTTCCCCAGAAGGATTGTCAAGGCCTGGCTTAGGCTGCCCAGGGCAGTGGTGGAGTCCCCATCCCTGGAGGGATTGAAAAGCCATGGAGATGTGGTGTTGAGGGACATGGGTTAGTGGGGACCTGGCAGTGCTGGGGAAACAGTTGGATTTAACAGTCTTAAAGGTCTCTTTACTAACCTAAATGATTCTATGATTCTTAGAAATAGAATAGGGAAAGGACCTGAACGTGGATTTTGTTCAAATTCCATAGTGTAGTTTCTGTGTGCAAATATCTTTAATTTTTAATTTAATGGTTGTTTAAAGGGTAGTTTTGATGGAAACAGATTTTCCTCACAATCTCAATAGCATCCCTCTTTAAAAAAAGAAAAGGGAATTATTGAGTGACATGGAAAAGAAGAGAAGGGGTGGTTCATCTATCTGAAAATTTGGGTAAGAAACATGTTAGTTACTGTAACCCCCCTGCTAAGAATTAAAGTCAGATAATGTAAATAATTAATGGGAGGATTCTTTTTTTTGTGAGAATAAAGGGTGAAAAGATTAAGGATTAACTCATCAGTTTGGTCCAAAAGAAACAAGTGAATGTTCTTTTTAAAACTGAGTGGTTCTGGATTGTGTGGAAATTTCTGCCCGCAGAAGCTTACTAAAAATCCTTTTTTTTTTTTTTTTTTTTTTTTGTTTCTTTTAGGATGAAGCATGAGAAAAGTTACTCAGTTTGTGGACTGGCCTGGCACCCCAAATATAGCCAAATTGCTTATACAGATACTGAGGGGAATCTGGGGCTGTTGGAAAATATTGGTGATGGAAAGAAAGCAAATGACAAGGTGATCAGCACCAATTATTTCTTAAATTAACATGATTATTTAGGTTAACAAATTATACTGAATGTCCCATTTTGTGTGTTGAAAGTTCCCTCTTGTGTGTTAATTAATTTCTTGAATTCCATGTCCTATGTTCTATGTGTCTATAAATTCCATGATGATTTTTAATCTGATTTTAGGTTACCAGTACAGTGACAAAGGACTACAATGATCTCTTTGATGGAGAAGATGATGACTATTTAAATGGGGATACGATTGAACCACAGTCTTCCCCAACAGCTGGAGCTGATGAAGATGTTGATGACCTCATGCCAACCTCAGGCCCTCTGAGACGGGCAATAATTGATGATGATGATAACTCACTGGGTACAGAGTGAAGCAATTTCCCAAAGTTCTTTGGTGCTGTTGGGATGATCTCTTAGCATCCTCTACTCAGACACATTCTACCTTATTTTTTCAGAGAAATTTTGACTGATTTAAATTTTTTGTAGCTATATTCTGTCATAATAATATGTGTAAGATTATCTTTTTTTTTCTTTTTTAACTTCTAGATATTGGGTTGATAAAAGCTAATTCCAATCTTCTTGAAAAGGATGATGAAGATGATGATCAGTCTGGTGGCTTTCCAGCTTTGCCAACATCTACACAAAAGCATTTCTATGATGGGCCAATGCCAACCCCCAGGCAGAAGCCCTTCCAGTCTGGCTCCACTCCTGCACATCTCATGCATCGTTTCATGGTAAATCTCTCTGTTCTGATAATATTGAATGTTGTCTAGTTCCTGATGTGTCTTAATTGAGTCTTTTCCAAGGTTTTAGTATGATTTTTTTTTTTTAATACTTCACAGTGTGAAGCTAACTAGTTGAAAGTGGCTTTATGTTAATGCAAAGACTTCATAATGTTATGCTGTACATTTCAGCTGCTTTTGGTATAGAAATAAATACTTGGCTTTCAGGCAGAAGCAGGCTATACAGTTTGTACCTGTGCTATTGCATCCTAGCAAATCTTCTTGAAAATTGTTTTTTAGCCAGAACTTCTGGATATTTTTGTGCTGTTAAGAATTGCATGTTATTTCTTTCTAACTGCAAGTTCTCCACATGTAGTTCTGTAATGAGAAAGGACAATAAGGACTGTCATGGGTTAGGGTGAGGGCTGTCTACTAGACCTATAGCAGATGTTCGTTATTGATCCCTCTGCTATCCCAAAGGGGAAGAGAAAGGGGATAAGGAACAGAGACTTATGGATTGGTGGGGGGAGGGGAAAAACAAACAAAAGCAGTGACAACGAAAAGAATAATACTAAAATGGAATATATACAGACTTCTACAAAACCATTATCGAATGCAACCCACTCCCTGATGGCAGTGATGTCACTGTCACCACTGATGCTGTGGGCAGGCACTGGGGAAGTCCCAGACTGGACTCAGCAGCAGCTGGGAACTGGATTCAGCAGCTGGATTCTGGAACTGGATTCAGGAACACATGGATTGGGACCAAAGGCAAAATGGGCAGAGTCCTCCTCGAACACAGGAGGAGAGCCCTGACCCTCATCATCCCTCAGCTTGATACTGCCCATGCCCTACATGGGCTGGAATCCCTCACTGGCCAGTTTGGGGTCCCCTCTCCTGGCAGCTCCTCCCCACAGGTGCCACCTCTTCCTCCCTGCCCCCCAGCGTGGGGCACAAGGCTGAGCAGTGCCCGGGGCGCAAGCCTGAGCAGTGCCCTGCCTCTGCCCGGGAGCCAGCAGCAGCCAGAGCCTTTCTGCCCAGCCCAGCCCTTGGCAGGAGCTCTGCCCATGGAGCATTGTCCGTGCTGGGAGCAGAGACTGGCTGGGGAGATCTGCTGGGACCTTCAGCCAGGGCAGGGGCTGAGCTGAGAGGTGACATCACTGAACAGAACCAGCTCTGTTCTAACTCAAACCAGGACAAGGATGAAACTAGTTTCTGCCTAATCCAGGTGTTTTAGAACTACAAGTGCTGACTACACAAGTCTTCAGTCTTCCCTGAGCCTTCTACCTGCTGTTGTTTGAGGTGGGGAAGGCTGGTTTAGGGCAGTATGCCTGATTTACTGGTTCTTTTTTTTGGGGGGGGTTCTTTTTAATAGGTCTGGAATTCTGTTGGCATCATTCGCTGCTACAACGATGAGCAAGACAACGCCATAGATGTAGAATTTCATGATACCTCTGTCCATCATGCCACACATCTGCCCAACTCCCTGAACCACACGATGGCTGACCTCTCCACTGAAGCCATTCTGCTAGCCTGTGAGAGTTCAGAGGAACTTGCAAGGTGAGTCATGGCCTTGCTCTGCAAAACCCATAGTGTGGAATTGCACTTAACTTGTGTCAAATAGTTTGACTTTTAGTTTCAATTTGCGCTGTTTTTCTGAGATTTTTTGGGTTTTTGTTCTTGCATTTAAAAACAATAGCAACAGATTTTAATATTATTAATCTTTAAGGAAGAACTTTCTTCTTATTTTCACACATACGGCACTGTGGTAAGTTGAAAAGCACCCTTCACAAGTATTACTTGTATGTCTTGGTTGTCTGACTGAAAATGGCAATTTTTTTTTCTCAGTGGAAGTCAATAATCTCTCTAAAGACTTGGTGTCTGAATTGGTCACAGGCAACTTTCAATTACTAAGGTGGCAAAGCTGAAGTTCCTATTTTTTTTTGCCTTTGAAAGGTAGGATAATATGACAGGCTTGTAATGAGGGCTGATATTCAGGGGTACAGAGCACCTTCTGCTCTTATTGATGTTAATTATTAAACAGGACACTTACCTGTTTCCATCTAAAAAAATCTCCCTTTGGACCTTTAAACTGCCTCTGCCTTAGGGACTCTAAATCCACAGTGCGGGAGGTTGAGCTGGCTCTTCAGTTCTTGATTAATAAAAGGCCTTTACAAGTGACCACTTGTAATCTGTAGTTCCTTTCTGTGACCATCACAAATTCCAGGTCGCTAATAAAAACATAATATATTGGTATGTTATCAGATACTGTGTTTTTCTTCACATTGAGGTGTTTGACTATTTTTCTTCGTCTCCACTTCAGCAAGCTCCACTGCATTCATTTTAGCTCATGGGATGCAAACAAGGAGTGGACAGTAGATATGCCAAAGGATGAAGACATTGAAGCTATCTGTCTGGGGCAGGGCTGGGCTGCTTGTTCCACTACTGCCTTGCTAGTTCGTGTGTTTACAGTTGGAGGAGTTCAGAAGGAGATCTTCAGTCTCCCAGGTCCAGTGGTGTCCATGGCAGGGCACGGAGATCAGTTGATGGTGGTTTATCACAGAGGTAGTTCTCTCCCTTCTGTCTTTTTTGAGCTGGGCTTGTGTTTTTAACCCTTGTCTGTTACTGGCTTCAAACACTGGGTAATTTGTGTGTAACCACCAGAAGTGTGTTCTACTCTTCTTCATGATCTGTTTTAGCAGAGGACTTTAGAGCCCTAATGGCTCAATGGTTGGACTTGATGATCTTGAAGGTCCCTTCCAATCTAAAGGATTCTATGATGCTTTTACTGTCACAACCCACAGATCTTTGATTTCTGCCAGCAAAGCCTAGATTTTATGTTACACTGCCTAGATTAACCTGTGGGGAAGGGGAGAATTTTATAACAGTGACATTAATAGATTAAAATTAGGTTTCAGATATGCCAGAATTAATTACTACAGGAAATTAAGGAAGTAAGTTGTTATTCAAGCTCAGTACGTCCACAATGACAGTCACTTGTCTGACAGTGGTATTCATAGATAATTCTGCGTTATAATTAGTTTGTTATTCAAAACTTATATTTAGCCAAGAGACAGGATGATTCTTCCATTTTCTAACATAGTCATTGAACAACTTCTTCCTAGGTACTGGGTTTGATGGTGACCAGTGCCTCGGAGTACAGCTGATGGAGCTAGGAAAAAGGAAAAAACAAATTTTGCATGGAGAGCCTCTTTCTCTTACAAGAAAATCATATTTGATATGGATTGGATTCTCTGCAGAGGGTAAGAAATAACCAGCATGAGGGATGTTGAAAGATCTTGAGACTATTGGGGGGAATTTTGGAGGAGAGTTTGGCTAATGAATGCCCGTTTAGTAATGGTGGTGTTAGAACCTAGGCTTTTTTCAGTCTCCTCAATGCAAAACAAAATTCTGTTTTTCTATTCTTTCAATGTTTTTATCAGAAATCTTTAATATGTTCCCACTATGACTAGAATGCATTTGAATGTTATCAGAACTTGTTTTCCTCATGAGTTACCTTGCACAGAAAAAGAAAAACTGCATTAGAATTGCAGAATGGTTTTGGTTGGAGGAGACCTTTAAGATCATGGAGTCCAACATTATTAGCTTGGGAGGGGTTTTAATGATAACAAAAAGCAGTAACTGTAAAAGACCTCATTTTCTTTGGGAATATACCTAAGTATGAATTTGATTTCTTCCTAAAATGTTTTAAACTTGGGCTCATCAGTTGGCTAGCAGTAGTGTTGACTGTCAGAAGGTGGCGCATCTTTCTAAGAAACAAGTTCTTCCCAGCCAGGTTGTACTGTTTGGGTAAGAATGTCCTGTTTGGGATACATCCACCAGTTCAAACTTACTCGTGCTCTAATTAGTTGCCTGTTGGAATAACATAATGTTTTCATTTGTCACAACCAGGTACCCCTTGTTACGTGGATTCTGAGGGAATTGTGCGGATGTTGAACCGAGGACTAGGGAATACTTGGATCCCAGTGTGTAACACCAGAGAGCATTGCAAAGGAAAATCTGATCATTATTGGGTAGTTGGCATCCATGAAAATCCCCAGCAGCTCAGGTCAGATATTTCAGAAGGAAATGCTTTGTTTGGCTTGGGTTTAAATTACAGAGCACTTGGTGCTAAGAGTAACTGGAAACAACTCGTACTAAAACAGGTGGTTAGGGAATACTCACAGTAAATTATCTAGTTAATAAATGTAATTCTACAAGGATGTTTAATTACCAAATGGGTTTTGAATAAACTCATTAGAGTTTTATATTATAACTGTCTAATTGTGGCTTTTTGCCTTGGCTAACGGGCGTGTGCGCTTTATTCTGCAAACATACCTCTGGTGCAGGCTCATTCACAAGACTGCATTTTGCTGGAGAAACCTGCTAAGAAGTTCCAGTTGGTGTGATAAATCTGCTTCTGCTCTTGATAGTTTGGGAAGCGTTGTGTGTGTTTGGGTTTTTTTTGGTTTTTTTTTGGTTGGTTTGGGGTTTTTTTTGTTCTATGTTTTCCCCTCTTGTCCTTTTGAGAAGAATCCAATGCTGTAACTAATTACATCATTAGGCATAGATAAATCAGAACTATCTGTTGTTACATTAATATTTAAACCGTGGCCATGAAGAACAATTTTTATCTGTAAAATTGCTCAAATATTTAGCTATGGGTTATCCATTACTTTATAAAATGTGATCCTGCTGATGTCTAAAGAGCTCTGTTCCTCTTTATTGTAACACGCATCCTGGACACCAGCATATCAAAGATAAGACAGGGGAAGGGTTGCTGTAGAAACACCATATGCCTTAATTAACACAGATAGCCAGAACACTAATGCTTCCTGTTCTTTTTTTTCTGGTGTCTGAAACAGCAGCTTATAAAACCAGACGTTTTTGCCCATGCTGCATTGGTGCTGCTGGAAATACAGCTCTTCCCCAATCAATGTTTTGCTTAAGTGATCACTACCAGAAAATGCTAGTTCCAATACAACAAAACAATAAGCCTGAACTTTTAGTATGTCCTTATCTGTTTCTCCCCTCTTTTAAATTTTTTATTCCCTTTTTTTTTACCTCCTCTGTGTGTGTCTGAACACAGCACTCCTCATGAACTCCAAACACCCTCATCAAAATTAAATGGTAGACGTGCTAGCTTTTCTTCCAGCCGCCTTCAGTTGTTCAGTAGTTTCTGATTTTAATCAATTGCTTCTACATTTTGTAGTAGCTGATAAATGGCATATTGTGTCAGAGGGAGATCTGTGTCTGGCACGTGCCACATTTGGAGCTTCTAGTGTGAACAGGAGCAGTGTGTGCTTTGCTGGCTTTAAAATCTTTTATTGGCTGCCGTGTAAAAACAACCCTTTACAATGCAATCCTACATATTGCTATATTTGAGTCAGGAATTTCCTTACTACTTTTTAAAGAACAAATCCTCTTAAAGTCTCTTGCTTCTTAGGAGACATGATTCAGATGTAGAACAAGTACGGACTGTAGGTGTTGAGGACTGTGTGTGTTTTGTTTCCCTTGTGCAGGTGCATTCCCTGTAAAGGAGCCCGATTCCCTCCTACCCTACCACGGCCTGCTGTAGCAATATTGCCATTTAAACTTCCTTACTGTCAAGTCACCACAGAAAAGGGGCAGATGGAGGTATGGAATGGAGTAGAGTCCACGGCTGGTAGTCTCAGATGTCCCCATAGTAGGGATTATACAAGATTCCTATTAAACATCTCTACTATGAGAGGGTAGTACAAACTCTGAGTAGGTCATGAGGAGGTTGAGTTTGGTGTTTTGGATAACTTACCTGGTTTCCTTCACAACTCTTTCTGAAAGAATATAAGGTAATGCTGCTAGAGCTGAGGTTGTATTCACAGGTTCTATTTACACATAGCCTATTTCTTATTAATGAAGTCTTTCTCACCCTCCCTTATTTTTAAGGGGTAGTTGTTAATGTTCTATTAAGCACCACATTTTGGGATCCAAATTCAGAATCTCTTGAAGGTGCCTGGTTTTTAATATTGTAGGCATAATGAAATTTCTGTAAGGTTTTTTTTCCTATAGCTGTACTAAGTCCTCAAATTCATACGATCACTCTGAAAACATGGACCTTCCTGCTTAACTTATTTTCTTAAAGTAGAGGCTGGTTGAAACAAGGTGTTCCTGTGGAAAACTTCTAGAGGAACATCTATATTTATTCTTCATTTTTTTTTTTTAATAGATTTAAATATTTCAGCCCTGTAGTGTTCAGCTGTAGTGCACAAAACAAATGAACATAAAATTCTGACCTCAACCTTAGAGACAGTTTAATGCTATTTGAAATTTATTCTCTTTGATGGAACTGTAGATAAAAGTTTCAATCGTAAATACTTAGTCATATTTAATAATTTCTCCTTCATTTCATTCAAGCCTTTTTGTTCTTTATTTGATGGGATAAGTCTTCCACACACCACATCAGAATAATTGAAAGGAAATGCCAGGAACTGTTAATTTAGCTTGAGGGAATATGTAATTCTGTGTAGGCAGACAGATTATTCCAATTCATCTGATGAAAATGTGATGAATAAGTTGGTAATACTTATTTTGTTACAGAGAGAGCCTGGTCTAACAGCCATACTAATATTACACTGAACAACAGAAGAGTTATTTTTCTGTTTACCTGTCTGACAGATGATGATTTCTCCTACAGTTACAGAGTTATTCTGGAATTCTTCCAATCTGCTGTGGGACAGAAGTGATAAGATAAAATAATCAATTTGTTCTAGAATTGTCTATCCTGGTAGTGTACTGGTGAGCATGCAGATCTCATCCTGCTGAAAGCCTGTGGTATAAATGGAATTTAACAGATATGGTGACTGTTTGGATCAGTTTGTATGCAGATGGTTGTTAGCGTGGTCTATTTTGCCTCAGTAGGCATTGGCTTTTGAAAAGAATTGTCTGCCTCTCACCCTTATTATAAGATGAAAAGAATGTTTCAGAATAAGTTGGTAAAATGCACTGTAAATGGTTAAGCCTTGTGTCATGGGCTGGTTTTTCCCCTCTGACCTCCAGCACACATCTTCCTTTTTCAGGAGCAGTACTGGCGTTCTGTTGTATTTCACAACCATGCAGATTACTTATCAAAAAATGGCTATGAAGTTGATGAAAATGCCAAAAGTCAGGTGGTGAAAGAACAGCAGGAACTTCTAATGAAGCTGTTTGCTGTAAGTACAAACAAATGAAAAACAGAATCCCTGAGACTTTAAGTAGATGGCACTTGATGTGGATTTTGATGTCATTCCTTCTTTTTAAAGTCTGGGTAGTGACTGGCAATCCAGCTAGCCCACAAGCTGTGATAAGAGATGGACTGCAGTTAATATTGTCATTGCTTATCAGGAATGAAGTCTGGGAGGAGAAAGGGGTGGGGAAAAAAAGAAAAAAAAGTTTTTTCTTTACTCATGCTTGTTGGTGGTTTGTCTTTATTCATTCACTCCACCAAGAAGAGAATATTCTGGCCCTGAGGTCTGGAGAGAGAAGTGTAGCTCTCAAGGCTTCTTTCCTTGCAGCTTTCCTGTAGACTGGAGCGTGAGTCCCGCTGCCTGGAACTCGCTGAGCTCATGACCCAGCACGTGGTGAATCTGGCTGTCAAGTACGCCTCCCGCTCCCGCAGGCTGAACCTGGCTCAGAGACTCAGTGAGATGGCTGTAGAAAAAGCAACTGAGTTGGCAACAGCACTGGAAGATGAAGAGGAGGAAGAGGATTTCCGAAAGCACTTGACTGCTGGGTAACACAAATTTCTCTGATTAAAAACCTGGGGAGATTTTTACTCATCCATTCATATTTTGGTGCGGCTGATGTGCTTTTCTTGGCCCTGGTTTGCAATGTATTTGTGATGGACTAAGTTTGTGTTGCTCTGCTGATCAGTGGTACATCTGAAATGATCCATGTGGAGAGCTTGGGAGGACTGTTAGCAGCAGGATACTATCACAAAGGGGAATATCTTCTCATTTACTGTATGTCTGTGCTCAACAGCTTCAGAGGCAAAGCAGACTCAACACCAAGTTGCTCTGATTGGATTGTTTTATATTCCCCCCCAGTTTGTGCTTGTTTTATTATTTGACTCCAACCTTTTTTTTTTTTCCGTCTTTGTCTCAGTCTCTCTATCTCACTTCATTCCACACCTATCTTAAAATCATTCTATGATTCTCCAGCCCTCCCTTCTTTCAATATCCCAGCTCAGTGTATGCTATTTAGTTTTTTCCCCTCCAAACTAATCCCACCTCTTCAAAGCTATAGAAATACCACAGGTCTCCTTTGCATTCTGAATCTGTGCTCTCTACCTTTCCTCTCTTACCTGCATCTGCTTGGTAAACCATGGTGAGACAATTTAGGTGGGTGTGTTTGTTTTTTTTTTTTTTTTTCCAAATATAGACCATTAGAAGAGCTGAGTTCTTTCTTGGCCCCTGGATGGTACAGCTATAAGGACAATAATTGCTAAACACCAGTCTGATAGTGTGGAAGAAACAACATGACATTTTATCAGAAGCCATGCTCTTCTGTAGCAGTTTTATGTGTGGAGTTTGGAACTTATTTAAACAAGAGGAAGTGATAAGTCCCCGGACATTCTGTAGCCTTTCACTTATTCTTCTGTATGAAACTGCACGTTCAAAACTCATTTCTAAATGCTCTGCTTTGTTCTGGATCACAAGTGGAAGCTGTAATCCCATGGAGCTGTCTGAAGGCCCAGTGCTTGTACTTCTGGCCGAGTGTGAATTTTGGGCAGTTTCATAGCTGTGTGTGGCCTTACTGAAAACTCCACGAGTATCACTTCAGGCAACTGCACTTTGGTGTTTCAGGGTCAACTGAAGTGGTTAATGAATCTTTATTTTTACCAATCATTACAGTTTAATCAGAGGTATAATGCAAATAAATGTCAAACGTAGTTGTTCTTATTTCCTAAATTAGGTAAGTAAGTTAGATTTCCACTGTTCCAGTTTTTCTTCTGAATGTGCTGGCCACTTTCCTTTCTGATGGATTCCTTCCATTTAGTTACAGCAACTCTGCCACGGAATGGAGTCGGCTGCCAGTCAGAAATGTTCAGCAGGACCAGGACGTGGGAGATACTGAGGAAACTGATGGCTATGAGGAAGCAGAAGAAACACCAGAAGTGCATAAACAGAGTAAGAAAAATATATCCTCTGAATAGGCCGGAAGTTATCTAGCTGTGTCTTTCCCAGGCTTCATAAGGAATTCTGGAAAATTTCCAGAGAATGTGTTGTTTGGATAACTCGACAGTCTACAGGACTAAGCAAACAATGGGGTTTTCTGTATGTGGTTTTGTTTTCCTCTTTGGACATAAAATTTAGGATAGACGGGCCCTACACCCCTCACAGGGCACCACAAGTGAGCTACAGGAGGTTTGGTTTAGAAGCTATTTACATAAATAGAGAACACTCCCACTTGTTTCACTGAGTTTTGAAACTGCAGCTGCAGCAGGGACTGGGTTTTCTGCTGCCTAGGGGGAACAGGTCTGGTAGTTTCTGATTGATCTTACTTGGGTGTTGATGTGAAAAACCACACAGGAATGGCAGAATGATATGCAGCAGCTCCTGCCTGTGGGCTTCCTGCTACCTGGAATTCCCTGTGGGAGTTGTGGTGGTGCCTCCCTGAGTGAGCAGCTCCATATCCAGCCTGTGCCTGCAGTCACTGCAGAGAAGCAGGTTTAGTGTGGCTCCTCTGCTGTCTCACAGCTTACTTCTGCATTGTACTTCATCATCATTTGAGGGACCTTGCAGGAGTCTTTCTGTTACCTGATGATATTTCTAATAGACTGAGTGGCTTGTGAAACTTTGGTCTGGTGTCACAAAGAAACTTTACTTTGGTTTCAGCTCAAATCTTGCAGGAGCTGAACTGGTAGACAAGTAGTGTGCTGGGCACACTTTAAGCAGTAAATTTACTTAAAGGTTGAAGGGAAAAGTTTAAGGTTTACAGAATAGATATACGACTCTGAGTTAGATCTAAGTAGAGATAACAGGTGGTTTCATAAAAGTGTGGTACAATTTGGAAATGAAAAGTCATGCTTTAAAATAAAGATTGATTTCCTCTAACTTACTTGCCTGTTTGGGGATTTGTTTTTAAAGAAGTTATGCTATTACATTTTATTGCACTGAAATGTGTACCACTTTCTTTCTTCCATAGGACCAAATCCTTTCTCCAAAGGTCTCACTTCAGCAGAAGTCACTACTCCAAAGTCTGGTGAGTAAACCTCCTTTTATTCCAGGATGAGAACTTAGTCACAGTTCACTATATCTGCTCCTGCTTTTATCCTCAGTTTTCCCATTGCTGCTGAGACTTGGTGTGTGACTGTTGCCAAGTGGTAACCTGCACTGACTGTTGTTTTCAGGTCTTGAAGAGGTTCCCTGCTTCTCTTGGCATCTTCATTATCTCAGGATGTTCCATAACACTAATTCAGTTGCCTTAGCTGTGCCAAATGCTTAATCAGTTGTCTGCCTGCCTATGCCATGAAGGCATCTTTTGGGACAGGGGAAAAATGAGAATAATGATCAATTAATTTGTTTTACTAATCATAGGCACTTTTACTGATTATACTTCCAAGGGAGAGTTTGTAAACCTGCCATAGAAATGTGAGTCTAAGCAGGCAGGGGCAGAATGCAACCTCTTGCTGCTTCTGGCTGCTTCCCTCCTGCCAGCCCTCTAGCAAGAATAATAGGAGTGGAAATGGATTTGGGAGTGGAGGAAGTACTGGGTCTTCCTGTGGATTTGTATTTTAAGCAGCTGGTCCTGTCTGGCATTTCTGATGACTAATAATAGTTGAGCACATACAGCATGAACTTCATGGGACTATTGAAGTGTCTTTAGCTGACCACTTTCAAGCCTGGTGGAAACTTGTTTTCTTTAGTATGAAATAGTTGATGCCTTTTGAGTTCTCTTATTTAATTTTCAATGAACAGAGGCTGAAACACAGACGGTGAGTGTTAGCATTATTTCCAGAGAACAAGGTTAACTTTGTTTCATTTGCTCACCTAAAATGTGCACATTGCTTCATAGATTTTCTTATAAATGTATTTATGTATGTGCACACACACACATATTTTTACTTTCTTTTTTCTTTCCTATTAAATAGCTGTAATTACACCAAGCAGCCAAGGACGAGTGAATCCCTTTAAGGTAAGAGTTTTGCAGCTGGTTTGCCTGCAGTATTCTGAAAATCACAACAGATTATTAGATCTGAAGTTTACAATATAGCTATGACAGATATCTTGGAGGGATGGAGGAGGGGAACATGACAGAAAACAAATAAAATCTCTATTTTTCTCTTTTGCTAGGTGTCATCTAACAAAAAGGATTCAGTGGTCCCCTCAGCAAATGTTCTAGACACGATGAGCAGATACTCAAAGAAAACTTCTTTGTCTGGCAGTCGAGCTGTAAACAAGCAGAACTCCCCACTTATAAAGCCTCTGATTCCCAAACCCAAGTCCAAGCAGGTAATGTTTCTAGTCTTTTTACACTGTTTCAGTGAGCAAAGAACAGTAAATTGAATTTTACCAGCTTTTATCAAATATGGAACCCTGTTGATTGAGTAAAGCATCTTAGATGGCAAAGTTCATTTAAAGCATACTGCAGAAGCTAGAAAAGCACATAAAGAAGCAAAAGAAAAATGCAGTTGTAGAAATGACATTCTGCCCTGAATCTTGTGCTTTTATTTTAAATAGTGTTAACTAAATAGCTGCTGTGCTGAGACAGGATGGTAATAATGCAAGTGATTATTATGTCTTTAGGAAAAGCTTGGATTTTAGTAGGCTACATGGTATGTGTTCTTTGAGAGTGAGGAGTTCTTAACTAGTTTTTTTCTTTTTAACCTCAATTTCTACAGACTTCAGCAGCCTCATTCTTCCAGCCTCGTACACCTAACACCACTGAAAAAGCAGTGGAAGAAAGAGAAGAAAAAGCTGGAAACGAGTCCCAGGAAGTCAAAGACACAGCTCAGGAGAACACTGAAAACAGAAGGTGAGTGGACACTTGCATCTCAATGCCATGTTCAGTTTTGATAGAATAGCAAGTCTGGGAACTGTTTTTTTCCTGAAGATGTTAGACTGACTGAAGTAGCATAACATCAGGATTAAAGTGTTAGCTCACATGTTGCCATGTCTGTGAACCTGCTTCAGAAATTTAGTAAATTGCTAATTATAGTGAATATGTTATCCAACAAACCTGCACAAAGCAGATTGGTTGGGTTTCCAAACTGCCATGTTGCAATCCCATGGGAAGAAGAGAGGGAAGCACTCTGTTCAGGACATCTTTCCCAGGGTGCATGGTGGTGTAATTCAAAGTAGAAGTTTCCTGTTGGCCTGAGACAACTGGACACGTGAGTGAATAATAAATGAACAATGTGCAATGTAATTTTGGGGCTCTAAGCAAGTATTTTTGCCTTGATTACTACTTATGCATCTGATAATGACCTTTGAATGATAAATGAAACTGTGCTGCTGTTCCAGATCTAGGTACAGGAAATACTTAACTTTAAACATCTCTAGAGAATCTCAAAGGAAGCCTAAAAGCCAAGAGGTTTATGTGGAAGTATAAAAGCTTTATTGTAGTATGTTTTTTAAAAAAAAAGAAAACAAAACTCAACTTGTATCACCTAAGGAGCACATCTCTTCCAAACCAAGACTCTAATCTGTCTTGTTCCTCTGCAGCAGATGTATTTTCTAACAACCTCAGTCTTCATGAAACTTGCATTATTATAATCATGTTTCATTTAGACTTGATTTAACTGAGGGAGATGGAGGTGATTATTGCTCATTTGGACTAGCATTCTTTTCATTAACCTTTACAGATAATGTTCTAAAACAAGTGGCAAGGAGAATTGTGAAGAGGATTAGCTGAAACAGGCTAATATATGTGCTCTATTTTTAGGTTGATGGGACTCTGTCAGAAAGGAGGAGAACCATTATGCTTTGTCATTCTAAAACTGAAATGTTAATCTCTCTATATATCAGAGTTTTAATAAAAATGGTTGACTTAGTCTTGCCTCATCAGCATGTTCTTCAAGCATACTGCAATAGGAGAAAGCAGACTGCTGACTGTATATCTTTGAGTATATATATGTCTTATATGAGTATCTATATGTCTTTCAAGAACAAAAATGTCCAGTTAGGTGGTGTTTAGAAATGTATGGTTTTCCAATAACCTTCTTAAGCAGGCAATTTTTTTTATGTGCTCGTTTTAGACCAAAGACAGGATTCCAGATGTGGCTAGAAGAGAACAGAGCAAACATTTTGGCAGATAATCCTGATCTGAATGAAGCAGAAGTAATAAAAGAAAGCATGAGTCGGTTCAGAATGCTGACGGCAGAGGAAAGAATCGTAAGAAAATATTCTTTAATCCTTGGGGGGTCTCTCTGAGGATCCTTTTTCCTCTTGGTTATTTTCTTTTTGGGATTTTTTTCCTTTAAATTCCACTGTTCTCCATCTTCATGGACTTCAGTTTTGAATTGGGCCACAATATATGACACGTACTTGATGAAAATATAAAGTCTCTGGATAATAACTAAGAGCAGAAAGCAACTTTTTTCCAAAGTGAGGGAAACATAATCAGTGGAGAAATAGCAAAAGAGAAGGGAAGGAGTTAAAAGTGACATAGCCAGGCCTAATTTATCAGGGCTTAAATTGGTTTTGAGGCACTTTGTGGGTTTTATTAGTCCAGAAAGACAATTTAGAGCTTTGATTTCATATACAGGCTGAAGTGAAGTATAGGTTTGAAAGAGAAAGTTGCTGGAAAGAAGGAAAGGGAGAAAATTGTTCCTAACTTGATCCTTATTAGTTCTCAACCAAGATTATTTCAGTGCCTCCTTAGAATCAGAGAAATAAGGTGTATAAAATAAAGCAGTGTGTTTGGTGACCTAATTTGTAATTCTCTGTTTAATGATGTGCTTTCTTCAAAGGTGTGGACTGAGAAAGCAAAGGGAGGAACAGTTCATGATGTAGCAGAAGATAAAAAGCGAAAGCGTCCCACAGATGATGAAGATGAAGCAAAAAAGAACCCGGAGCAAAAATCAGAGGACTCCAATTTGTCCAAAAAAACAAAGCCTTTAGATCAACCTACAAATGTCAGGCTGTCAGCTTTTGCATTCAAGCAAAGCTAAATAACCTGGTGCTGTTTTCTGAAGACATTAGGTAGCTTTGTACTGAGAAAATTACCACTGTGCTCAAAGAGCACTAGCAAAGAGTCATTTAGGAAGTATTTTAGTACCAGTTCTTGAGGGAATTGTTGAATCCACTCCCCTGATCTTTTGGAAATTCCCAGTGTAAAGCCTGATATCAAAACTAATGCTAATGGGCCTGTTAGCTAGAAGGACAGTTCCACACAGTGTTGTGTAGCTGTGTGCCTCCATACTTGGAATATTTGGTGCTAAATCCTGATGAGTCGTTCTGGGGAGGATAAACTATGTCCAAAAGCTGTCCTGTGGTTTTAGAGAGTAATGGCTTCTGCACCATTCTGCACCTGTTTCAAAGCCCTCAATGGAGACTCCCTGAAAGGGGAGTGATGGGAAGACAAAGTAACATGATGCTGGTCTTAGCTGCATTTTCAACTTCTGTGGCTGTGACAGTGACAGAGAGCAGCCTGTGACAGTGGTGGGGAGAGAAAACCAGGGAAAGAAGCTGAATTAGGAAGGTCAGGTCTTCAAAAATGAGCCATTCTAGACTGCAAATACATGTTCCCAGTCTGTGCCTCAGCAGGGTCCAGAAAGTACTCAGAACTTGAAAATCTCTGTATTGGTTTTACTTCATGTTTGTTTTTAAAATAAAATATTAATGTTTCTTTGTTTTAAGGTGGTGGTTGTCTTTGCAATTTTTATAATTAAAGTAAACAGACTTCTCTTTAGAAGTCATAAGGCAGTTGTATTTACCTTCTTTGGAGAAAAGGCTGCATGTCTAAAATGTGCTTGAAGCAAACTCAACATTTGAAACCCTTTTTTTAAAGCTAAAGTAAAATAATTGTCCTGGTTCCAGTCAGAACAGAACTAACTGTGCAGTGATTTCTTATCTCGGTGTCCATGTGTTCCTGAATCCAGTTCCAGAATCCAGCTGCTGAATCCCATCTGCTGCTGAGTCCAGTCTGGGACTTCCCCAGTGCCTGCCCACAGCATCAGTGGTGATGGTGAGCCATCAAGGGGCTGGGTTCAACAGAGGTTTTGTGTATATTTGTATATATTCCATTTCAGCATTATTGGTTGGCTGGGGCTCTGAGCAACCTGCTCTAGCTGCAGATGTCCCTGCTCAGGGCAGGGGGTTGGACTGGATGGACTTGAAAGGTCCCTTCAACCCAAACCAGTCAGTGATTCTATGAAGCCAGTTGTGCATCTGGCTGTTGGGACCATCCCTGCTGTGCTGTGCTTTGCTTCAAACTACAGGCACAAATCTGGTGCAGTTCTGCTCTGCAACAGAGCCTGCAAACAGCTTGTCTCACAAAGCATCCAAAGTCCTTTTGGCTCCTGTAGGAGGGAGGAAACATCCAAAGTAAAGTTCCCTGAAAGTGTTCTGAGAGCTGGATGTTTGCAGTCATGTAGCTCTGAGCAAACACACCAAAGGTCTCTTTAAAGGGAGGCTCCTGGATTTAGTGGATGGTGTCGCAGGAATTGCTGGGGCTGTTGGGCACTATCCTGCAGGGCCCGAGTTCCAATTTGCTTTTCTCCTGGCTTAATTTTTGCTGTATAGAATCCCAGACTGGTTTGGGTTGGAAAGGATCTTTCAAGGCCATCCAGTCCAATCCCCTGCCCTGAGCAGGGACATCTGCAGCTAGAGGAGGTTGCTCAGCGCCCCGGCCAACCTCACCTGGAATGGTTCCAGGGATGGGGCAGCGACCACCTCTCTGGGCAGCCTGGGACAGGGGCTCACCACCTTCAGCAGCAAAAATTCCTCCCTTCTCTCTAGTCTGAATCTCCTCTTAAACTTTTGAAGTCATCCCCCCTTGTCCTGCCCCAACAGGCCCTGCTCAAAAGTCCCTCCCCAGCTTTCTTCCAGGCCCCTTGAAGCCCTGGCAGCCCCCAGCAGGTCTCCCCAGCTGGAGCCCTCTCCTCTGTGGCTGCCCCAGCCCAACTCTCTCCTGTTGGGCTCCCAGCAGAGGGGTTCCCCCCTTGGGGCATTGCTGGGGCTCCTCTGGCCCCACTCCAGCAGGTCCCTGGCTCTGCTGTGCTGAGGACTCCAGAGCTGCCCCAGCACTGCAGGGGGGTCTCCCCAGAGTGGGGCAGAGGGGCAGGATCCCTTCCCTGCCCTGCTGCCCATGCTGCCTTCTCTCTAGTCTAAATCTCCCCTCTTGTAGCTTCAAACCATCACCCCTTGTCCTGTCCCAAGAGGTCCTGATAAAAAGTCTGCCCACAGCTTTCTTCTGGGCCCCCTTTAACTACTGCAAGGCCACAAGAAGGTCTACCTGGAGCCTTCTCCAGGCTGAACAACCCCACCTCTCTTAACCTTTCTTCACAGGAGGGCTGTTCCAACCCTCAGACTATTTTTGGGGCCCTAATAGAGCTTATGGGTTTCATCAGACCCTATATCTGCAGCCTTGGGGTCACACTCTGGATCTCACCTCTACCCTCACAGCAAAATAGTTGAGATTTGAAATTTCACATGGGGGCTGTGCTGGTGACCACAACAGTGAGTTTTAATTATGGCAGTGGCTGCTCTCCACAGAGATAAAATAACACCCAACAGAGCCCATCAAGACCATGGAAGCGAGTACCTGGCTGCTTTCATGCTGGGAGGATCATCTCCCACTAGGCTGCTGGTACCTTTCTTTCATCAGAGATGGGTTTTGGTCAATTAAACAGCTCAGGGCAGAGCTACAAATACACCTGGAGCCTTCCAGGGAGCTGCGTGGAGCCAGCAAAGGCACCAGCAGGACAGGGCTCAGTATAGCCTTCAACTTGGGTGGAAAGAAAACACCAAATCCAAAAAGAACAGAAAATGTGGAATGGAATTTTCAAGTGAAAACGGTTAAATTTCTCCTAGCTGGTTTTTTTGGTTTTAGACTTTATTCATTTAAAGATGCTCCCTAAAGAATTGAATGGAATTTCACTGAAGTCTTCAGAAAAGCTTGTTTGTCCTGAATTTGCCATCTTTCTGCTGGAAAAGCAGGTGTTTTAGAAAGTATTTAGAATTTCAGAAATTATTTTAGAAAAAGCCAACCTGGAAATGGTGTCGAGGAAGCTGCCTGATGTTGATTGTTCCTCCAGTACTTGGAAAAGCAGAGAGGGAAGCTTGCACTGCAGAATATCTGGTCTTTGGATCAGATTTGAAAGGCTCCAGCTATTGACCCTCTGGTGGGGCTCTGCTGGGGCTGTGCTCTCCGTGCTGCTGTGCCCAAAGCTTTGCTGTGTCCACTCCCAACACTTGACTCCCCAACCCATTAACTGCCATTCCAAACACAAAGCAGGTCCTCTTCCTCGCTCTCTGAGCCTATCATCTTTTTCCATTTCATTGTGTCACTGGAATTTTAAAAAATGCCTTTCTCATGCACTTTTTCTGAAGAAAAAAAGTCGTGTTAAAAAAGTAGTGTATGAAAGCAGATAGCAGGTGAAGGAGTCTGCAAGAGAGAATACTGATGAATCATAGAATCATTGAATTTTTTAGACTGGAAAAAAAACTCTAAAATCATCCAGTCCAACCGTTCCTCCAGCACTGCCAGGTCCCCACTGCCCCGTGTCCCTCACACCACATCTCCACGGCTTGGAAACCTCTCCAGGGATGGGGACTCCACCACTGCCCTGGGCAGCCTGGCACAGCCCTGGGCAACCCTTTTAGAGAAGACATTTTTCCTAATGCCAAACTTAAATCTCCCCTGGCACAACTTGAGGCCATTTCCTCTTGTCTTGTTGCTTGGGAGAAGAGCCTGACCCCCTCCTGTCAGGGAGTTATTGAGAGCCAGAAGATTGTGTGTGAGACGTTTTGTTCCATTACCTCTGCTGCTGCTGTTGCTCCATACCCAACCCAGAGCCTCTCCTTGCTGGGAAGATGCAGCTATGAAAACCTAACAAAACCAGTCCCAAAATGGCAGGTAGAGTCTGTCAGCTTTTCAGGGGGGATATAATCCAAGGCAGCAAACACCCACCTCCCTTGTTCTGCAGCTGACAGAGTGTTTCAAGCCCTTTAGCTTATAGAAAGGTCTCTAAATTACCTCCTGGGTGTGCTGGAGTGTTGCTAACCTGTTTGGACTTCAGAGGGAGTGCCTGATCTGCAGGAAGCTCAGCATTTATTCAGAGAAAGAACATTTGTACTATAAATAAACAAAATATGTGCTCGCCTCCTAAACAATATTTTCCTTGGCTTTCCCAGCCCTTGCTCCATGATATAATTTTGCTCTGAAAAGAAACCAGCAACGCCATGACCCCACCAAGCTGAGCTGGTCAAACCAACACAAAAAGCCTCGTTCACCTTCAGAGCATCGTGTTGCTGGACCAGGCATGAGCTGGGCGATAACAGGGAGGAGAGTGCTCTTCCCATAACTTTTTGTTTTCTTCCTGAGCTACCTGCTGCTGCATGTCCCTCACTGACCCTTGGGCGATGCTGCAGCTGGGCTCCAACATCACTGAACTCATATTTCACATATCCTCCTCTTGGTTTTTTTCTAATTCAATGCCAAATCTTGGAAAAAAAAAAAAATCTCTGCTCTTCACATCTCATGAATCCGTGTCAGCTTGTGTTAGTTTGGATTTGGAGGGCTTTCTTTGGCTGTGCTTATAAACCCAGTGACGAGCAGCCTCGAGGATGCTGATACGTGTGGTACACAGCACAGAGCAGCAGCTGATTACAAGGAAATGGTGTAAATCCAATTGCTGCCTTCCACAGCAGGAGTTTTGGCTTTTGTTGTTGTTTTTAGCGTAGGTAGTGGGTTGGATTAGAAGGTCTCTTTGCAACACAACATCCAACACCTTTATCTCTATTTGGTACTGGAGTGGGATAGCAAATGTTTTGGGGCAATGCAATTCCAGTTAAGATACTTGTCTCCATCAGAGAGGAAAGATTTCTTATCTTGGCTTCAGGGATGTCCCGTGTCTCAGTTTCCACAGCAGACCTGGTCCATCCTCACATTAGCCCCACTGGTGCTGGTTAGGGTTCTCTGGGGCTTCTGCTGTGTCCCTCACTGAGG